TAGAAAAGGAGATTATGAATTTCAGACAAGCTTTGAAACACTCATTTATTTATATACGCATTTGATTATTATATGATTTGTGGCAGTTAATCTGCCAGAAAAGGATGCCAACAAAATCTTTCGGAGGGGATGTATGGGGTCAATGGGAGTTAGGGTATCTCTCAATGGCGCACTTCCAACTAGAGCACTTAAACTTTTTTTTTTACACTCTTTGGAATGCTGCCACATTTTGATTGGTGCTTTAATAAAGCTGTGGGCGCCCCCAGAGTGGCGCCCTTTGTCTAATAAATCAACAAAAGAATTTTTTATGAAAGCCATAATTAAAAAAAATAATATTGTTAAAAACTTGTTAAGAGCGAGTGGCGGATGGCTGATGAAAAGGCGACCGGCAGCTCTACAAGGATTTGCGTTACACTCAGCTGAATGGAATGGCAGAGAGCGAAGCAACAGGACATCAAGGATTAAAAGAAGATGTTCGCTTGTTTCCTGCAATAACAACAATATCAACAGCTATGACCACACACAGAGGAAGCTAGAGAGACAGCGAGACAGAGAGACAGRSAGACAGGCAGACAGCACGACCATACGGAAGCCAGCCAATTGGCTTTAAGGCTCGCCGCACACAAGGACGACCAKCAGCAGCAGCAGCAGCAGCTGGAAGGACATGTACGCAGCGCCTCATACAAAATGCGCGATGCGGTCCAGCAAATGACCAAAAGCGCAAAGCTATTAAATTAAATTAAATGGAATTGGCCAAAACCCTGCGACATGGCATTCTAAGCTACAAAATATGGACAGAAATCGTTGTTTGCTTCTCTTCTTTTTGTGTTGTTCTGATAATATTTATTTATTATACCCAATGGGCAATGGGGTATATTAATAGTGCTAAGCAATGTGTAATGCCTACAAATAAGGTAGTATAAACTCCTGTTGTGGGCAGCATAGCTTGAAAGGATGTAAACATAGAATTCTATGGACAGTTTAACTGGGAATAGTGCTTTAAAACAAATTTTAAATACTGGTGAAAGTGGAGCCTTAATATTTTGAGATATATAATTGAGCATATTTGTGAAATATTAAATAAGTCATCAATTTATTGTAATATTTTTCATAGCATGATTATTTGTAAAGGATAACCCAGAGATAAAGAACATCTTATTATGAATTTGAATGAGGGACTAATTTAGTTTACGATATCGAAACACCATAATTAATTTAAACTATAATTTTACTATACACAGAATCTCTGATTGGGTTAAATTTTATTTCAAAAATATTTATAAACTTATTATTTCTGCTTTTCATTTTTACTTTTCAAAAGTCTAAGAAATCGACCTTTCATTTAGATTTATTAATGTACTGAAACAATGCTGATTTAAAAAATCAAATCTAGATGAAAGATCGATATACTTAAGTCCATCGACAACTGTCTATAGATCCGATTGGAAATTTCTGTTTCGATATTTAACTTCTCTGTCTAAAACTGTGAGATCTGGTAGTCTAATAGAGCATTTTGGTTTTTATACGTCGCAACCTACTATTATTTTGTAGATTTAATTTTTTATATTTCGATAATGCGCTCTCGTTTATATAGTTAGTCCCTATATTATAAATGTATGCGTTGTGCTTACTGCATTGTATTAGCAGTTAGGCTTAGCGGCTGCTGCTGCCGCTGTTAGTTTTATGTGCTTGCTGTGCGTTTATAAGATCATTAAAATTAATTAGAGTCAAAACGTTAAAAGGATTTTCATAGCCAACACAGACAGTTGTCCAGGCTAACGGGAGGGGACAGACGAATGCAAGAGCAAGGCTATTATCCATCAACAGCAGCAGGAGTTTTTGAGCCAGGATCTGCTGCAGATGTCCTGCTGTATGGCTTGGACATGGCTCTATTTCCAACTGCCACACAGTTTCTTTGGCAGCAGCAACAGTTGCTGCTGTGTGGCGAGCGGTTTCGTCCAACTTTGTTTAATCATTTATGTTTATAAAACACTTTTATGTGCTTGGCGTTTGCCGTTATTCTGGTCGCTCCTGGCTGAAGCACGGACCAAAGGACTCACCGCTGTTGCTTGCAACAACTTTTAATTGGAGATTGCAACAACTACACGGAGCTGTGCAAAGCAGGTGAAAGCAAAATATGATAACAAGAGCTGAGAGTTGTTGTTGCTGGGATTTGTGTGTAGATACCCACTCGCTCAGTCTCCCTCTCCTGCTCTCTCTCTCTCGCTCTCTCTACTCTCTGATTCTTTATCTTTCTTTGTGGCTATAACTGTTACCGCACTCTTAAGCAGGACCTAAAGCGAATTATGTGCATTTTGGCCACTTTGTACTAATTTTCCAAAATGTGGCAAGTGTGTGCGTCTCTACACATATACACAAGCAGACACACACACTCATATATCTACACACCCACAGACAAAAGTCAACGACAAGGCATAGTAAAGTTTTTGCCCCTTTTCATGATTTAGTGGAGCGACCCGCTTGCCGCTCCCATGGCTGGCGCCCCTATCGAGGTAGCATTGCCCACGTGCTAGTGTGCGCTGGTGAGTGTGTGCGTTTGTCTGTCTGTGTGTTGGTTCTGCCTGCAATTGTGTTGATAATTTGAAAATTCATTTAAAGTTTTTGTATCGCGTTTTTGTTTATAGAATCTAATGAATAATTAACAAAGTTCTTGTGCATTTCAAAAGATGTCAACGACGTTGATGATGAAGTCCACGTCGACGCCACCGCCGCAGCCGACGTCGACGTCGACGTCAACGCTGGCATCGTTAGCAAAGACGTTGGACTCTCGAAAAGGCTGCCAAGTTTTCATTTGCGACAAATATGGCTGGCGTCGCAAAGTTTTCTGTTTACTTATTATTTACAGACTCGGCGACTTCAGACGGCAAACGCAGCCAAACAAAATACGGAAATAAGGAAATAAAGAAATAAAAAAAAAAAATAAAACAAAACAAAATAAAATCACATGAACCTTGCTATTCGCCTGCCCGCACCACCCACCACATACCTATTCCCACAGCCCAATGGCAAAATTATAAATAATTTACGAGTGTTTACGAGTTTGTTCGTACTTCTGGCCTAGCCGTGAAGCCACCCAAAAATTATTCGACTTTTAGTTGCTCAAATAGAGCTTTAAATCGTAGCTCGGGCAACCGAACTTTGTCTTGCTCCCTGACTGCCTCAATTTTACTTTCACTACATATCAGGAACGTTACAGTGGAAATATTTCGGAGTGGTTTAAGGACTTGATTTGAAATTTCATAAAGTAGACAATGGAAAATAGTATTAATTACTGGAAATCGACTATGTGAGCTGAGCTAACTTTCCGATAAATTAACATGTAAATTCATATACTTTATATAAGAAAAAGAATCAAAACTACAGAAACTAATTGGTTATAAAATATTTATATTTACATGTATGTAAGCTGAGCAAAATTTAATATATATTGCTTTGCTATATTTTGTATGATCAAATAAAACTCATCTTCAGTCTTCAGCTACTTTATTTAAAATATATGTTTTGACTTCCCTTTGAGCTGAGCACTCTCATAAATAAGAACTATAAAATTTGAAGTTTTTTTTTTAGTTTTTGTGTATTTTTTGTTTTATGTATAAAATAAAATTATAAGCTTATAAACAAAGATCACTTAAATGTACAAATCTCTCAATTTTACTCTGCAATTTGAAAGATTTTTCTCTCTCCTCGATGTTGTTTACACTCATTTTATCTTGTGTGTTTCGCACATTTGATTACGAATTTGTCTTTTTAGCCTTTTGGACCTAAACGTCATAAGTTCTCAAAATTGTTTTTGCAATTTGGAAGAGTTGAAGATATCAACAGTTGGATTTATGGATAGGTAAAAGATAATTAGAAACGTTTAGGATAGGAGATTGAGTTGATAATGAAATAGAGCTTGATCTTGAGGCTGGTTGAGTATTATTTTTTCACTTGTKGAGTCTTGTTAGAGGTKAGACTTTGTGATGTGAGAGTAGTGGGAAAGTAGTTGGGCAAAGGATTCGAGTTGATATTGTTGTAGTTGTAGTATTGTAGTTGCTGTTGTTGTTGTTGTTTTAGTTCTTATATTTGTTGTTGTTATGTTTATGAGGTGGCAGCTTTGGTTTTGGGCGCGTTCTTAGTGCGACCTTCAGTGTTCAATCCAGCTAGAAGCTCGCTTTTGCGGATGCTCTTCAAGTCCAGATCACCATAGTAGTCTTCGCTGCAATTGTAAAGGGACGAGGTAAAGACAAATGTGAGAATAGGCCAAGAGATATGTATGTAAGTGAGTGTGTGCCTGTGTGCGTATGCGTGTGTGTGTGTGAGAGAGACAGAGAGAGAGAAAGAGAGCGCGTGTCGATGCATGAAGATAGATACATGAGTATTAGTGTAGAAAAATAGATCTCGAATCTGCTGAACGACTAAGAACTGTTGTCTGTGGTTGGGTGGCTGGGTGGTTCGGTGGTTCGGTGGTTTGGTAGTGTGGTCTGTGGTGCAAGCGTAGCAAAATAAACTCAAAACTCAAATTCAACAACTCCAAGCAAAACCAAAGCAAACCAGGTGCCAAATATATTGTGTAGTCAAGCTTAACTGTTACAACTTACCAGCCGGGAACATCCTCGGGATCCTCGCAGTTGCCAGTGCCATCGCTGTCGCCAATCTTGAACACTGTGCCAATGGGGCAGCCATACTCGCGTGCCACGCCCTCCAGGCAAATGTAGTACTTGCGGCAGTCCTCGGGATGTGCGTGACGGGAGAAGGAGCCAGTATTGGCCAGCTCACCAGCAGCTGGGCAGGCGAAGCCGTTGGCAACCTCTGCAAGTCAAAGGACAGTTAGTTCCCGCACTTCAGGAGCGCAGCCGTCTATTCGCAACTCACCTTCGTTCCTGCACTCGGGCACCTGATCGGCCCACATGCAGACGCGTGCATCGCGATCGTAGGCCAGGCCGGGTGAGCACTGGTACCTGGATGGCTCGCCGTTCCAGCAGTTCCAGAACACGTCGCACTTGTTCTCATCGGGGAAGATGCCGTACAGACGCGAGCAGTGAGGCGTGGTGATTGGAGGCTCTGCAAATGGAAGCACATGAGTTCAGCTAACCAACATTGATGGCAATCAGCGGTAGACCTACCCAACTCAGTGCGTTCACCGCAATCCACATTGTGCAGATAGTCGCAGTTCTCGGTGAGGAACTTGGAGTCTGAGGCATCGAAGGCCAGACCATTGCCGCAGGTCTTCAGCTCGGAGACGCCATTGTCGCACTTCCAGTATTTGTCGCAGGATGTATCGTGTGGATAGAAGCCGAAATCATCGGGGCACTTGAAGCTCGACTGGGCCACAGCTGCAATTACCAGAGAAAGTGTACAAAACGCAATTAGTATAAATTTCAAATGCAGCGCGTCAAGCAAACTAATTGAAATCAATTTGTTCCCCTGAATATTGTATTATATTACGAGCGAAGCGTGGCGAGGCGGGCCTACGTGAGACGGGTCTAATAGGCCCCAGAGCCTATTCAAATTGCATGGCCAATGCCAATGGGCGTTTAATTGTTATATATAAGCATGCGTTTACACGATGTTGTCAATGCTGTCGATGTTGTCGATGTTGTCGATGTTGTCGATGTTTTCGATGTTGTTGTGCCCAACGATTTGTCATCTTGTGCAAAAGGCATTCACTTTAAAAATTCGCCTCAGACGATGGCTGCCAATAAATCTTTTGGCTGGCAACTTTCAACAGACAGCTCTAGAGATCTGAGATACACACACACTTACTTACACACACATACGCACGCGTTGACAGCTCAGGGCCAACTGCATTTACTTTTTGCGCTTGTAATTTGTTGTTGTTGTTTCTGTTGTCTTCTGTTTTGCTTCTTTTTTGGGATGAAATTACAGCTTCGACATCGACGCCGAACCCTGGCACGACAGAGTTGAAGCACCTGAAACGCGCCACCAAGGACTTATCGCGGTGCCTCTCGCTCTATCAGAGCAGCCCTCGCAGCTCCCACGCTGCAAGCTGGGAGCTCAGTGCAACCGCAGAGCGTAACGAACGCAAATTGCATTTATATACCCTAACTAATGTGGTGTATTTTTTGCTGGCCTGCAATGTGCAATGCATTTGATTTCATTTCGTTTAATTTCGTTTCAAATCAAATGGCAGCTGCAGCTGCAGCTGCAGCTGCAACAGCCAGCCAATAAATAATTATTCAACGTTTTTAGCATTCGCCAACGAACTTGCCCCAAATGAACAAATGCCCTGAAAAGTCCTGAGCCACACTCTGTGCCAGCCCTTGTGTGATAATCTAATTGCAAAGCCACAAAACTGCGGTCATGGCTACAAATGCTCAATCAGAAGTGCTCGACTCCTCTGACTCTCCTGACTCTACCTGACTCCGCCTGACTCGCTCAGCTGCCTCATCAAATGAATCAAAATAAAAATAATTGAAACTAAAAAAAAATATTTAGATGGAAAAGCCGACAGCTAAAACAACTCTTGATAAACCAAACAGCATGCAATTTTCATGTTGTGTAAACTAATCAAATATCAAAGTTTTTTTTTTTTATATATATAGAGTTCTGATGCATTTATATATACACACACATRTATATAATGCAATTGCAACAAAAGCCTTGCAGAAATCAAAATTGTTGGCGATTATCAAATTATTTGCAGAATTTAATTAAAAACTTTGTTTTCCTATTGCATTTATTTACACGCGCACTCGTTATATCTGCTATGCGTGTGTGTAAACACACTCGTCAACTATACACACACACACACATATACAGATGCTGATGCTGCACTCATATTTATTATGCGCACTTTTCGGTCAGGTGCTCTAGCGGGAGCTGTTAGTCAATTGCATTATAAAATAATATATAAAATATTTTCATATATTCACTCGACTTGTTTACTCATATATTGTTAATTATAGAGAAATTACATTTATAGTTTTTCAAAGGGAACTCTGAATTGAGTTCCATATGAATAAAATTCGAATAGAAATTGCCAAAAATTTTGAGCGAAAAGTAATTAAGTATTTGCATTGACAGCTATATTTCGTAGCCATAATGGGGCAATAAGTAAACTCAAGAAGAGTTTAAATATATTTTAAGACAATCTATTATATGTTTATAAATATGTATATTTGTTTAACTCTTGGACTCATACAAATATTGTGCTCKGCAATATTTCACTATTTGGCTTGCAGCTCAGGTGGGCCAGCAGCTGGAATGCTTTTTCGAAAAAGAGGAACTTTCAAGCACTTAGCTGTTGTACCCACACACATAACATTCAACAACTAACAAACAAAAGCTAAACTCTCTCACAGAGGGAGAGTGTATGAGTGTGTGTGTGTGTGTGCTCAGCCAACAGTTATAATAATTTAGTTTGTTGTTGCAGCAACCGAAGCAGTGCACAAAAAGCGCATTCCAATGCAAGTGCAACAGACCCAAAAACCCCAGCTCGTCTCGAGGCTGGTCATGCAGCTGTAAATGTGTGGAATGGGGCATGAGGCATGAGGCATGTGGCATGTGGGATGTGGGCTGTGGCATGGGGCATGGGGCATAGCCTGTGGCAGCCGCAGC